TAGACAGAGCTAAGAGGCAGGCCACTCTCCCGCCCCCTTCCTAACCCCAGTTAGTCCCCTGCTAGCACTGAATCCTGATTGTGTTTCCCATCCTTGGAGTCCCTCTGTGGACTCCAGCTCTCTGGCATTAATTAAATATATATTGATTGTTCCTACCTACAAGTCAAAAAAAGGGAAAAACCTTGCTCCAGTGACAGGGCCCCCGGTATACCTCCCTTCGTGCTGTGCTTGACAGAATGGCCACACTACCTGCTCCTCTCCAATAGCATTGTGTCTGCCCCGGAACTCCTCAACACAGTGAATTTGTGGCTTGCTGCCAGTGGACAATTTTTCAGACATTGTCTTTTTTTTTTTTTAATATTTATATATTCACTTTACATTCCCATCATAGCCTCCTCTGTCCTCTCCTCCTTGCCTTGCCCCCTCTTTCTTTCCCCCTCCCCCTCCCCAACCCAGTTCATCGAGTCCTATCAGGACTGAGTGCATCCTCTTCCCCTGTGGCCTGGCAAGGTAGCCCTACCAGGGGGGAGTGATCAGAAAGCAGGCAGCAGAGCCCATGTCAGAGACAGCCCCCCCTCCCTTCACTAGGGGACCTACATGAAGCCTGAGCTGCCCATCTGCTACATCTGTGTAGGGGGCCTAGGTCCAGTCTATGCATGGTCCTTGGTTGATGTTTCAGTCTCCATAAGCCCCTCTGGGACCTGGTTAGTTGGCTCTGTTGGTCTTCTTATGGAGCTCCTGTCACCTCCAGGTCCTTCTACCTTTCCTCACACTTTTCCACAAGACTCCCTACCCTTTGCCCTATGTTTGGCTGTGAGTCTCAGCGTCTGTTTGGATCTGCTGCTGGGTGTAGCCTTTCAGAGGACAGCAATGCTAGGCTTCTGTCTGCATGCATAGCAGAGTATTGCTAATAGTGTCAGGGGTTAACTCTCTCCCATGGGATGGGTCTCAGGTTGGGGCAGGCATTGGTTGGACATTCCCTCCATCTCTGTGCTATCTTTATTCCTGCACATCTTGTAGGCAGGATGCATTTTGAGTGGAAGTTTTTGTGGGTAGGTTGGTTTTCTCTTCCCTCCACTAGGAGTCATGTCTAGTTAGAGGGTGTCCTCTTCAGTCTCCATGACCCCTGCTACTAGGCATCTCAGCTAGAATCACCCCATATCCTCCTAGAAGCCTACCCTGTACTGGGTCACCTCCAGCTTGTCACAGAGATGCTTCAGCCCACATTTCTCTTTTCTCTGCAGGCCCTCTGTTCTCCCGCCCCCAAATTGTCTTGAGTGTCAGCAGATTTGTGTGTATGCATAGATACACATCCATGTTTGTGGTTGGGAGAACCTTTGCAGGTTAGCATGTACACATGAAAGTGTGCCCAGGGTTGGTAACAGGTGTTCGCAATCACTCCCCCCCCCCTTTTTTCTTTTATAAAACATTGTGTCTGTGTGAATGTAAGCCACATGTGGGGATGCCTGAGGCAGCCAGACGTGAGCTCAGATCACCTGGAGCTGGCAGTTGTAAACCACCCGATGCGGGTTCAAGACACCAAACTCAGGTCTGCCGGAAGAGCAGGAAGTGCTGTCTTTGGCTGGGCCGTCCTGCATCCTTTCCACCTTTGTCTTTGAGGCTGAGTCTCTCCCTGAACCTGGAGCTCACTGATAGGCTGGAGCGAGTGGCCACAGCCCCACGGATCCTCCTCTTCCCACTTTGGCTGGGACCACAGGTGCACACAGTCACACCCAGGTTTTTGTGGGGGTGTGGGGCTTTGAACTTGGGTCCTCATGCTTGAGCAGACGGCACTTTCACTAACTTAGCCTTCTGCCGAGCCCAGGTCTTAGCAGATTTTATTACTATTGATATTTCCCCCTCAGAATCTGTTTTCCTGGTTCCTACTCTCCCTGCATTGTGCATTTTGTCATCTCATCTGTCTATGCTTTAAACTTTGTTGTTCCTCAGGGTGATCATGAAAATGGCAACACACTTGCTCCTTTGTCTCTACCAGCTCCTTAAAGCTCGGCCATCTACACGCTAAGGGATCCGTGTCTAACTTAACTATCCTCTGGTCCTTCAGACCGCTCACATCCTGTTTCTTTATAGAGATCTCCTCTTGTCTGGGTGACTTGCAGGTTCTTCAAATCTAGTGTTATCTTCTGCTGGTTTCAGTGAGTGGCACTGTTTTTCATTTGGTAGCTTTTAAACTAGAAATTAAAATGTTATTCCTAATCTACTTCATGGGATGAGAAGTAGCTACTTTGGTGAGGAAGTAGAGAAGGGCCCACTCTGTCGACTGCTATGCCTCTTGATGTTGGCTCCCTGCACTTCACTCTAGGCCCGTTCACTCTTCTGTGGTTCACTGTCTCTGCGTAATGTTTAGCCTGTCATCTCTCCTGGAATATTGCCATATCTTAAGAGGATGTCCTTCGGGCAGGGCATGGTGGTGTGCGCCTTCAATTCCCTAACTCCGGGAGGCAGAGGCAGGCAGATCTCTTGATTTGGAGGCCAGCCTGGTCTACATTGTGAGTTTTAGGAAAGCCAGGGCAATGGAAAGAGACCCTGTCTCAAAACAAAACAAACAAAACGAAACATAAAACAGAGGTTGTCCTTCATTAATATCACTTCTAATCTGTACTCTGGCCATAAAGTCAAATCTGATCATGCATTTCCTGGGGTAAACCTTTCACTGGCAGCTGCTGGCCTTGTGTTGAAATTGCTTTCATGCTCTTTTCTTCATTCCAGCTGTCCTTTGTAGTTTTAGCTACTAGGCAACTCCCATTCCTCTGGCGATCACCTTACTTTCATACATGCCATTTCCTGGGCTAGGCACCTGTTTGTTTCACTAATTCTGAGCATTGCTCGGTCTTGGAAGTAGATGCCACTTCACTCAGGAAACACCCCACAAACCTGGGTTAGGTGGCTTTCATCCATGCCACTCAATTGTGATGCTCCACACTTATGACAGGACCAGCATGAGGGACTGCACTCCTGTGCCCACAGTGGTTCCACTGTAACTCTGGGAGCCAGTCTGAGGAAGAGCCCTGTCCCCTTCCTTTGTGGCTAGAGGCAAGAGAGAAAGGCTGCTCCAAAGTGAGGCCCAGAGGTCAGCTGGGAAGCCAGCAGCAAGTCTCAGAGCTTACCAAATGCAATGTAGCTCTCTGGATGTTTTGCTGCTATAGACACATGAGTGGCCTAGTATGTAGTCTTATTTCAGAAGATATTGGCTATGGGCCAGCACTGAGATGTCAGGAAGGGAAGAAAAGCAAGGTAATGTGTAAGCCTGGGAGCATCCCAAGCCATCTACATCTTGTTGGAGTGTCTTAACAAGTTTCTGGAATGCCACGGATACTCTCTACAGCAATCCCATCCTCATTTGGAAGTGATGGTTTGCCATTTTTTGACTCAGCGAGAGAGACAGTGGTTCTTTCAACAAAACTGTCTAAACTGTAGTGTATGACCTGTCAGGAAGAGTGTTATGCCATATATTAGGGGGTCTATATTTGTGGTGTGTTCTTTGATGAGTGTACTTTTTTTTCTAAGTAGTCCCTGGGGCTGTAGGGTATGAATAGCTCCAAACCCTTGGTTTAAGACTTTTCTTCATAACCTCTATTAGAATATTGATTTACACTTTATAGAGCTTTACAATGGGTCAAGGATATGCAAGAGTGGGTGGGCGGGATTGTCCTCATCTTTACAAAAGAAAACTGATATAGTAGCAATCAGACAGCTAGTAAGTAAAGAAACCAGGCCTAAGTTCAGCCCCCATGATGCCCAGTCCTGTGTTCTTGTATGTTTCAGCTTTATGTTTAAATTTGGTTATGTGTTATTAGAGAGAGAGAGAGAGAGAGAGAGAGAGAGAGAGAGAGAGTGTGTGTGTGTGTGTGTGTGTGTGTGTCAGGGGCAATTATTAAATCTCCTCTACGATCTGGGCCAGTTGAAGAAGTCTCTTTTAGTGTAGATAAGGCTTGGCTGGAGGATATGGCCTGAACTCATAGAAAAGGCTCTGCCCTAACATCAGAGGAGGCAAGAGTCCCTATTCTACATAGGAGAAAGTCAGGATGTCTTTTGTTTCATTTTGTTTGTTTGTTTGTTTGTTTGTTTTTTCTAAGAGGTGATTCACTTGGGGAGAGTACATACAAGCTCCTTGAGAGCAAGGAGTTTGTACACATCCTGTTCCTAGTGTATCTCAGGGGCCTAAATGTGGAGTTGAACTTAAATACTCGCTGAGCCAGCGGTGGCCACCATGTGTCTCTGGGATAGCACGGAAGTAGCAAAACGGAAGCATTGGAATGGATGGCCAGTGAGAGCACAGATGGGGTTAAACAGTTTCCTATTGTCTGAGGGCCTGCCATCGAAACTTGGGCCCTTCCTGACCAAGTGACATTTCCTCTAGAGGGCAGGCAGCCCACGGCGCCTCCTCTTTCTGCTCTTTGCTCCAGAGCTTACTTTTCATGTTCTCTTGGGAGCATCTTCAGATACAACTTTTCTCTTTTTTATGTTTCTTTATTCAGCTTTTGAATGAGGATTTTTCTCTCCTTTTCTGTTCATGTCCCAAACACTCTCCTTACTAGGGTAGATAAGAGAATAGTTCTGAAGATGGCCTTTGTGAACCAAGAGAAACACCCTAGTTAATAAAGAGTAAGGTTTTGAATGTATTGAAAGTACCCAGAAGACCCATTTCAAAAGTCCTCAGATTAAAAAAAAAAAAAAAATATTTTAATTAAGCTTTCATTGAAGCACCAGCATTAAGAATAGGTGAGCTTTTCATTTAGTTTTAAGTGTATTAGTACTGCACTTGTCCCACAAGTTTTCATGGCTTACGTTAACCCAACTGTACTTTGTATTTTGTGGGGAAATGTGCAGTTTCCAGGTTTAGAATAGCCCACTGGGCCCAACCACATTGTGGAGTGTCCTGGCCTTGTCTTCATCAAGCCGCAAACCTAGTTAGGAATAGGGGCCCTTTTTCATCTTCATCCACACGACTTAAGAGCTTTGATGTATTTGTCCCATAGGGAAGGCCTTTGACATCACCTATGTGCGTCTCAAGTTCCACACCAGCCGGCCAGAGAGTTTCGCCATTTATAAGCGCACTCGGGAAGACGGGCCCTGGATCCCTTACCAGTACTACAGTGGCTCCTGTGAGAACACGTACTCCAAGGCCAACCGAGGCTTCATCAGGACGGGAGGGGACGAGCAGCAGGCCTTGTGTACGGATGAATTCAGTGACATTTCCCCCCTCACTGGGGGCAACGTGGCCTTTTCAACCCTGGAAGGAAGGCCAAGTGCCTACAACTTTGACAACAGCCCTGTGCTGCAGGTAGGCGCTCACGGTGTGGTGTGGGAGCCAGCTGTTCTACCTCAAGCACGAAAATTAACCGAGTGAGTCATGACACGGGTAGCTAGATTCTATGCCACACTCCTGTGTGTTATCTATAACTGAAAAAAAAAAAGCCATTTTTCCTCCCACTGCCTGGACAACATTTGCTTTTATGTTCCTACTTAAATGTTCCTACTTTTATGTTTCTACTTAAAATACATCCCACAGTGTAACCTTTAAGAAACAAAACCAAAGAAGCACACACTTTAATTTAGGGTTTTTTTGAGACGAGTTCTGAAGCGGCCACTTACTCAGTTGAAGTTGACCTTGAACTACTGACCCTCCAGCCCCCACCTCCGCACACCATCACACTCAGCTAATTTGCAAATTTTATTAGAGCTGAACAGTTCTAACTTTAGTCTCTGTACATGAAGATATTTTGGTGTAGGGCTGGGAATACGATTCAGTGGTTAGATTGTTTCAGGAGAGGTGGAGGCAGGAAGATCAGAAGTTTATCTTTGGCTATGTAGCAGGTTCAAGGCCAACCTGGAATACATGAGACTTGTCTCGTAGATTTTACTTTTTTTACATTTAAAATTTTATTTTGTGTCTGTATGTGTGTGTAAGCACAGTAGCTTATACATATAGTTCAGAGCTGGACAATGAGAGGAAGTTGGTTCTCTCTTTCTACCTTGTGGGTCCCAGAGATTGAGCTGAGGTCATTAGACTTAGTGGCAGGTGCCTCTACTTGCTGAGCTTTCTCACTGTCCCCTTACCACTCCAAGCAAGTAAAAGAATGTGTTTGAAATAATCTTCCTATTTTTCTTACATCCTTTCTTAACTGCTCTTCAATTTCACAAGCGAAAATGTGTATTTTTAAATTAGCAATAGGGAACAGCTGATACAAGATATTTAAGTATTTAAGATTGTCTCCTTCCCTCCCTCCCTCCCTCTTTTCCTCCCTCCCCTCCTTCCTCCCTCCCTCTTTCTTTCCCTCCCCTCCTCCCTCCTTTCCTCCCTCCCTCCTTCCTTCCCTTACTCCCTCCCTCCCTCCTTCCCTCCTGCTTCCTTCCTTCCTTCCTTCCTTCCTTCCTTCCTTCCTTCCTTCCTTCCTTCCTCCCTCCCTCCCTCCCTCCCTCCCTCCCTCCGTTCCTTCCTTCCTTCCTTCCTACACAAGGACATTGTATCTGTGCTGTTGATAGTTGATAATCAACTCTTTCTTCATTACCTGAGAAATTAAGTTCTAGAGGTTGGATAATTACTAGGGTACCTTGGCACTGTGGTTAACCCATCTAACGGAAATAACTGAAGACTGAAAGAAAGCCAGAGAGGGCAATATAGCAGACGTCTGCCAGCCTTGTTTCTTCATCCAGTTGATTGTATTCCTGTCCTGGAGACTGAAGTGGGACCGGGAGGAAAGAATGGTGTTTGGGGTTGTAACTGGTTTTCTGGCTCCTTTGCTGCCTGCATGCCCACCAGCCTGTCCTGAGCAGCTCCCCTGTGGGGATTCTGGTCTTTGCTGCTCCTCATGCCATAGAGACCACATGGTAAGAATGCATAGGGCGCCTGCATAAATTTGGTCAGTTGTTTTCATTGTGTAGTCGATTTAATTATGTGTGTCCGGGTATAAGAGACCTGGCTTTCACAGCCAGGGGTCAAGTTGGGTGGGCAGGTTTGACTTCTCCCAGATGGAGGAGACTACCTCAGGTCCCACTGGCTCCTATCAGCAGGTATTGGCCTCCGTTCTCAGCCTTTGTTCCACACTTAGCTGTGCCGTAATGAAGTGGATTCTGAGCTGTAGATAACTGAGCAGCTATCTGGATGTATTGATATCTAGATGTAGTAAGGCTTGAAAGTCGCATACTCTCTGTAAGTTGGATATTATTTATATCTTCATTTTTACAGAGAAGGAATCAGAGCTCAGGAAGGATATAAATTGCCCCAACTCAGTTGCAGAACTGAGACCCGGACTCTGTTCAGTGCACCCCCAGACTCTCTTTTCCTGATGTTGTCTCCATGGCACTCTGTGAGCTTTCTGTCTCCTCTGTAAAGGGGAGCGTGGTGATGATGAAGCCTGGGAGCTGTTGTAAGCACTAAGCAGAGATGTGTTTAGCTCTTTGCGTTCTGCTCAAGCAACAGATCTCTGCTATTGTGGCCTCGAGTAGGAGTTGTTACTGAGTTCCAAGATGGATACAGAGAACTCATCTTCTCCTTTCTAATTATACTTGAAGCTTGATCGCGATTAGTTTTTATGAGCTCTCCCTGTTGCCAGGTATTTGGCTGGCTTAAGGCAGTGGTTCTTTATCAGGAATGCCCCTGCTGGGCTCAGAGAGCCCTCTGCAAGCATAGATGCCTGCACCCGTGCCCCGGCTTGTTACATCTGTGAGGGTGATTTTCACACACAGTGCCTGGACTGGAATAGAAGTGCTATCTTTTGAGTCTGGCTCACTCACCAGGCCAGTCAACCGAGGGCTGAATCTTTCTCTTTTCCTGTAGTCTTCCATGTGCAGGAGACCAGAGTAGGCTTTTCCACACGCTGGCAAGTCCCTAAGCATGAATAGTCCTTATGGCCCCTCTGCTTGTGTCATATCTACCAGTGTCCCCTCTGCCAAAACCAGCTGTACATCGAAGCCAGGAGTCAGCATGGAAAGGGACTGCACAGGGTGTGGCCTTAGCAGACTGAGTCACTGGGATCATTTTATACCAGTGTGCCACGCATGTAAGCATCTGATAAAGTTAGCTCAATGAAAGGGCATTTATTTAAGGCTTAGACATCTTAGACCCCAGGGTAATAGCACAGCCTTCATTCTTGTCTGCTGTGTTTTCATGCACCTTTCAACTTGATCAGACATAGTCATTCATTCACTCTGAGCCAAGCATGAGGGACATTGCACTGAACAAAATGGACACAAATTCCCTACCCTTCCGATACCTTTAATCAGGTTGTATAGGCAGGGTTGAAATGGATGATGTAAGCAAAGCAGTGGAGTGTTGGTAATCTCAAGATAGAATGGCCAGGAAAGGCCTAACGGTGGTGATATCATGGGAGAGATCACAACAAACAGATTGCATTTGGTTAGCGCGTCAGTGTGTACTCACACCTGACCGTGTGCTTAGGTTTCTGTCTGCCTCAGCCCAGTGGGGTTCAGGTCTGGGATCCAGAACCAGATGGTACAAAGTGTGCAGGGTGAAGCAGTATATAGAAGCAAGTGTGCTAGAATAAGTGTCACATTCTTGTGATCTGAACTGATGATCCTGGCTGCATTTCAGTTGTAGGCTGGGGAGAGAGCAAGGAGTGCAGAGGCATCCTGCTATTCGCCGGGCTGGGCTTTGGGGTTTCAGTCACCTTAGGAAGAAACCAGCAGTGTCCTCGCCTTTGGAAACTCCGAGTGGTGAGGTGATGGTGTTACACAGTCAGTGTTACACAGTGCAGAAGAGTCAAGGCGGAAAATATCAGGGGATTAAAGGTAATAGTTCAGTATTTCAGTAATGCAGCAAAAGAGGATCTAGATTAACGTGAACTATTTAGAGTATTTTTATCAAACGCGTTTCTTGTCTTCAGTCCCTTCATGTGTCTGTCTGCGCTTGTGTTTTTTCATTCTGGCAGGAATGGGTAACTGCTACTGACATCAGAGTGACACTCAATCGCCTAAACACCTTTGGAGATGAAGTGTTTAATGACCCCAAAGTTCTCAAGTCCTATTATTATGCAATCTCAGACTTTGCTGTGGGCGGCAGGTGAGTGCACTCTGAAATCTGGCTTGAAAGTGATGGGAACTGTGGTGTGGAACTTGTTTATGACTTTATTAGAATTTGGGGACCATGTGGATCTAGAAAGAAAGCCACAACCTAGGAGATTTTCCCCATCAGATCTTCTCATTCTCGAGGCTAAGCAGTTGGGTTTTCTGAAACCTTGTTAAATCGACTCTCATTGACCATTTAAGTGCAGAATTGAGTAATAGGTTCTGAGAGCTGTTGTGTGAGGGAGAAAGAAGTCTTGACCTCCAGGATCTTAGGTGTGAGTTAGGGACGATGCATAAATATGTAACAATTCAAATATAGGTTGAGCATCTGTAATCCACAAACTCAAGATGTTGTAGTTTGCTTTCTGTTGTTGTGATCAGCACCAAAGCAAGTTGGGGGAGGAAAAGATTTACTTCTTTTACAACTCCCAGATCACAGTCCATCACTGAGGAAAGTCAGCGCAGGAGCCTGGAGGCAGGAACTGAACCATAGGCCATGAAGATTGCTGTTAACTAGGCTGTTCTCCATGGCTTGCTCAGCCTGCTTTCTTATATAGCCTAGGGATAGCACTGCCTACAGTGGCTGGGCCCTTCCCCATCAATCATTAGTCAAGAAAATGGCCACAGCCTTACCTACAGGTCGCTGTGATAAAGGCATTTTCTCAGTTGAGGGCTCTTCTTCCCAGATGTACCAGGCTTATGATAGCCTAGCTGATAGAAAAACTAACCAGCACACAAAGCTTGAAATGTTTCAAAAATAAAATATTGTCTAGCGTTCATGTGATGTCACAAGTGGACAGTCAAAATGCTGGTCCCCTGAGTGTTGTGTAAAATTACCTTTAGGCCATAAAGTTCACGTTGTGACTTGTTCCCATTCCAGAGTTATAGCAGTCTAGTTTTGAAAAAGATCAAGAATCCAAAAACTTCTCTTCCCAAGTATAGGGTGGTGGTGGTAGGGGGTCATCTTAGGCTAGTGCTCCTGTGTGTTCTAAACAGAAATGTCATGAATCAAGACACAGAGCTGCACAACTAGAGGAGAGGTAGGGTCTGATGTGGGTAGAGAGGGCAGATGCTTGGATTGAGTGCCCTTGGATGGGTATGTACCAGCAGAAGCTGAGAGTGAAATTCTGCTGGGTGGGAAGAAAATCTCCCTTCAGAACTGTAAGCCAGAAAGATCACCTTATGGCCAGAGATGACAGGCAAAGAATCATAAACTTTCTTTTCTTGTGTTTGCCCATGAGGTCTCAAGAGCAGAATAATTATTTTTGCATATGGTTTTTCTGGCATGCTCAGTGAGATTGGTTTGAAATGTAACCAGTGAGAAAGGGGCAGTGTTTAGAGTAAGGCTATAATATCAAAACTGGGTTAGGAAGATGAGTGCACACTTAGAACAGAGGAGAGTGATGTGTGGTTATGAAGATGCCATGAAGCCCATTGCTTTATATCCTAACCTGCAGAGTCAATTACAGAGAATGTTTCAGGTGAGTGTGAAAACACAGTGAGGATAGAGGCACAGTGTGGTTGATAGAATTTCTATTCTCGTTTAGATGCTGTATAATCTGGAGATTAAGCAGATTAAACTCCTGCCATTGGGCTGCTGACAGATCAAAAGGGATACACAGTGCATTTTACTGTGAAAGGAAGATTGCCAGGTCTTTAGTCAAAGGTGATCTTAAGGTCTAATGGTCAGGAGAACAGTGCTACCAGGAATCAATTAAGACAGTGGGCTAACTTGGGGGACTAAAGCATTTGGTCATGGGAGATACTAAGTGTGTACAGTCACCAGGGACAGGGGTCCTAGAGAGGGCTGGGAACAGGATTTGAAAACCAGAATTCACTTCTGCACAATAAGATGATCCGGTATGCACAGGCATTTTTTTAGATGTCGTTGAAGCTGCAGAATTGCTGTCTTTAAGGAACCAAGTGAGAGTAATGTCTCTGCTCTAGCCACATTACCATCTCCAAGTTCGCTTATTACTGTACTTGGATCTAGGGAATCCTTCAGCAATCCTTGCCCCCAAATAGACCAAGGGAAAGTCTAATTACTGGACATCTATGAGAAAGGAGGCATCGAAGGAAGTGTCTCATCTCCTTCAGTTGGAAGTGTAATCATATGACTTATTGCCGTATGTATTGACTTGAATTCTGTGCAGTCCTGTATTCAGAAATACAGAATTTTCCAGTGAATATAAGAGAAGCTTTAACATTGTCTGTTTTACAGGTGAGGTTCAGGCACACTGTAAGTGACAGTGAAAGGATTCCAAACCTAGGCAGCCTGGTGTCAGACTTTATGCAGTTCTTAGCCATTGTCTTCTGCTGCTTCCTGACAGTTTTGACTTCAGGAAATATCCTGCTAGTATCCTTAGAAACTGTTAGGGACTTTCTTCTCTTTAATTATTGTTCCATCCTGGGTTTTTTGGTGCGCACATGTATGTGTGTGTGTGTGTGTTTCAACTTATCCTTGTGAAGTTCCTCAGTTTACCCTTTTGAATGGTAAAATTCAAAGAATCCTTAGGTTGCTTTTGATTTTCTGTGTACACATTTCTTCTGCAACATCTCTTGGACCTCACAGTGGTTCCATTCTAAGCCACACCTGTCTCTTTTCTCTCCAGGTGTAAATGTAATGGACATGCTAGTGAGTGTGTAAGGAATGAATTTGACAAGCTCGTGTGCAATTGCAAACATAACACGTATGGAGTTGACTGTGAAAAGTGTCTGCCTTTCTTCAATGACCGGCCATGGAGGAGGGCCACTGCCGAAAGCGCCAACGAATGCCTACGTGAGTGCCACTGGTATAGTCTGTCCGTTTGTCCTAAGGACGATGGAAGAAGGGGTGGGTGACTTCCTCATTAATGGAAACCTGTGAAAGGCACTGCTACTGTGGAGCAGGGCACCGAACTACGTGCACGTCAGAGGAAAATGATAGGTAAGGAAGTTGGTCATGAATAAGCCCAGCTGGTTTTGTTTCTTCATGAATATCAGCTAGGAAGCCCAATATCCAAGGTTCAGGAGTTTGCTTAGATTCAAACACTGGGCAAGTCTCTAAAATGTGACTCTTATAGTCACTGTGGCTCTTTAAAGTCAACCATCCTTCAAGTATCCATAGCCGATGGGTTCCAGAACCTTCCTCATATACCGAAGTCCATGGATAGTCAAGTTCTCTATAAAATGGCTTTTATTTGCATGTGACTATGCATTCCTTTTTCCATGCTTGTCATCTGTAGGTAACTAACATGATGTACAGTGCAAATGCCATGTAAGTGGTTGTCCCACATTGTTTGGGGGATGAGGACAATAAAGAAAAGTCTGCACATATGTTAAGGACAGACATGAGTTCCCTCCCCAAGTACTTTCTATGGAATCTGTTGGGTGTGCAGCCCCCAGCTAAGTCTGTTTCACCAGCACTCCTTCACTCAGGCAGGCAGCTTGCTTAACATGTACCAGGTACAAATTGTTGTTTCTCAAAATCACTTTTTCTTTATCTGACTAAAGAGAACACTACGAGAAAGTTGCCCAGCCACTGCTCTGGAAATCTGGGTGGCTTTGGGAGAAGGGGTAACACCCTAGTAAAGGTCAAAATGAAGACATTAACAGTTGCTTATCGTTCATAATACCATGGCTTATTCTGAACAGACTGAGAGGAAAACTCAGGAGGGGAAGTGTAGGGTCATTTTTTTTTTTTTTTTTTTTTTTTTTTTGCCAAAGACTTAATGGGAACAAACTGTAAAGCAACTGCAGTGTTTTTGAGTACTTCATCAGTGTGAAGATTAAAAGGACTAAGAGAAAGAACACTTGGAGCTTGCAGCAGTTATGTGGTTACTGAGAGGGAACCTCTTGACTTATGACTGTTTCTATTGAACTGCCTTGAGCATATTGTACTGTTCAGCTTTCCTTTCTCACAACAAATCCTGGAGTTGCTGATAAACTTTCTAGCCTCCTCTAGCATTTCTAAGCATTCCAGTGAGCTCCTTTAATCCCATTACCACACTAACGAAATTGGATATCATGAGGACTGGCGAAAGAAATGCAGCACTCCTAAAACATGTCTTCTAAACGCATGTACATATGGATGTCATGTTTCTAGTCTATCCAGGGAATAAGAGCAAACAAAATACTGTTAGGAAATGAAGCAGCCATGCAGCTAGTGGGTTTTGAGAAGGAGCTGACTGGGTTTGTCTTCCTCCATAGTCTCTTCAGGACCAACGCTTCAAAGTAAAGTTTCTGGATGATGTGACTACATCAGAACAGTTGGGTGGGATGCTGGGCCAGACAAGAACAAACACAGCTGTCCTCTCTTCTCCCAGCTGCTAATGAGAGAGGCACAGCAGGTGCTTTATCTTTGGGTTGGAGCAGAGTGGGCATGGGAATTGTTCTGCTTCTTGATCTCGGCACCAGGCCACTACTGCAGAAGACTGGATGGTCTATAGGACAGCAAGGGGTAAGAGAAACAGCTAATGAAGGGGGTGGGCACCAGCATAACAAACGCAAAGCCTTGGTGCCAGCAGGTCAAGTTTCTAAAAATGTTTTCAGTTGCACTTCTATAGTAGAATATATTGTACAGAGAAAGAAAATACATATTCAAGTGTTAAAAATAATAATTGATTACTGCTTTTTCATAAACCAAGCAAGACTTGGTTTTTATGTGATGGCCAAGAGCTTATATATACTTTGGACAGGCTAAGTCTAAGAAAATCATCCCCTAAAAGCAGAAATAAAGACTCTTTGTGATTACAAATTGTTTATTAATTTGTTTACTTTTGGAGACAGGGTCTCACTATGTATCCCTCGCCTGGATCTCACTGTGGAGACCAGACTTGTTTCAAACTCATACAGAATTGCCTTCTGAGTCCTGGGATTAAAGCTGCACACCACCTCACCCAGCCAGTCACTTAATTTTTTTTTTAATTTATTTTAAAATTTATTACAATTTATTTACTTTGTATCCCAGCTGTAGCCCCATCCCTTGTCCTCTCTCAATCCCACCCTTCTTCCTTCTTCTCCTCCCATGGCCCTCCCCCAGGCAACTGATAAAGGAGGTCCTTCTCCCCTTCCATCTGACCCTCAGTTACTAATTTTAAAGTATGATTTCTTTACCAGATGCCCAGTTGGAACTGTGGTTCCCTAGTAGATGGATCTGAAGGGTCTAGGTTTCCCTGCGATTCTGCCTCCATCATCAGACATGCTAATTTAAACCTCACGTTCCCTGGTCCGGATAGAGTAATCTGGCCCTTTAAAGCTGGTGCCTTAATGTGTTTGAACTGTTGAAGCAAAAATTTTCAAAGAAAAGCTGCACAATAATTTAGTACCTTGTTTTTTTTTCTGTTAGTGCTAGAAGTAAAGGATAATGAGTTAGAAAACTAGGAGTTCTGGTTCATGCTGTTTCCCAGCACTGGGGAAGTGGAGGCAGATACCTCTATGTCTTCAAGGCCAGGTCTGCATAGTGAGTTTCAGACCAGCCAACGCTGCGTAGTGAAATGCTATCTCACAAAACAGAAGGGTGGTCGTTTGACTTGGCTCTTACATATGAACAGGTACTGGGAGGCAGATTCTTTTCTGAGTATAGACGTTCTTATGTTTACAATTATCTTTTTTCTAAGAGGACAGATATTTCTTCGTAAAGTGATGATCAAGCTATCTAAACTTGTTGACATACCATGTCTTTTATAAGCAGTGTACCTGCTAGTCATTTTTATTTTGTATCACCTGTCACAGAGATATATGAAATTATGATTTGGTTTTTTTGAACTCCTAAAATGTTTTCTTAAAGGTATACAGCTCTTGGGGCTCTAGTGATGACTCCAGAGTTCATTTCCCAATAAAGCACTCATGTTGGACTTCTCAGAACTGCCTCTAACTCCAGCTCCAGTGATATGACACTTAAGGGGTTGGGTGGGCGCTCTGCAGGCGTCCTCACACATGGCATTTACTCATACACACACACACACACACACACACACACACACACACACACACACAATTTCTTTTTAAGGTATACCGATCTGGCATAACTTGTGTATTTTGACTTATAGCCTGTGACTGCAATGGCCGATCCCAAGAGTGCTACTTTGACCCTGAACTTTACCGTTCCACTGGACATGGTGGCCACTGTACCAACTGCCGCGATAACACAGATGGTGCCAAGTGTGAGAGGTGCCGGGAGAACTTCTTCCGTCTTGGGAACACTGAAGCCTGCTCTCCATGCCACTGCAGTCCTGTTGGTAAGCGATAGCCATTCCCCTGGGTGGAGCAAGACGAACCAGGAGTCTTCTGAACCCCCAGAAGTTAAAGCTTTGTTTTCTGAGCATGTGCACAGTTAAGTGTGGCAGTGTGCAAGCTGTTCTCGCTCATAAATGTCTCATCCTGCCTCCACTCTTCCCCTTCACTCTAACCAAGTTGAACCTTCAGATAATTTTCTAGTGTGTATAAAAGAAGTAGTGGTTCTGTAAATAATTGGCAGCTGGGTCATAGAGACCATCTGAACTTTGACTGCGAAGGGCTCTTCCTTGTTAATGATTTTGTTTAGTCTGTTCTCCTCAGAGCTGAGTGATGCACAAGTTAGTTAGTGTGTGTCTAGAGATACACAGCATTTGGTCTCTCGTATTTTTTTCCTTTTTGAAGGATAATATTGTGTTTGTGCCTATGTGTACTGAGGTTCTAGTCAAGAGCCTTAAGGAGCGCCTGATTGCCAGAGAGGTGACTGGTCCTGTGTGTACCGTTCTACTGGGTACAGCTTTGCTCAAGCGTGATGAGTAGATTTCCCCTAGGGTATGCCTGGTATGGCTTCTAAAGCTTATAAGGAGTTGTGGTTTGGAATTTGGGCGTTATTTTCGCCGGTCCCCTAGGGATTACATACCAGTCACCAGGCATTGGCTTTTAGCTTTTGCTTCTGTTTCTTTTGACACTGAATTTTTTTTTTTTTTTTACTTACCCTTCTGTCCGGACTTGGAGTTGAACATGAACTCGTTAAATTTTAGGTTCTCTCAGCACACAGTGTGACAGTTACGGCAGATGCAGCTGTAAGCCAGGAGTGATGGGTGACAAGTGTGACCGTTGCCAGCCCGGATTCCATTCCCTTACTGAGGCAGGGTGCAGGTAAATGTTTTTCCTCCTTTCTCTGTATATACAGGTAGTCTACATGTCTAGTGGCACAGAGTCTGTCTGGGTAATCTCAACAGATACGTGCTACCAATTAAAACACACACTGACTTTGTGGCCCTTTACCCAGAGAACATGTCATTGAACTAAATTGATCACTATCAAATGCCTATTTTATTATTACCCATTCTGGTTTGGTTTGGACTGCCTGTCACTCTCAGGTTCAAAGAAATGTTTTCAGTTTCAGAGACTGGTCCTGAATCTGCACAGAAAGGTGATAATAACAAATGGGAACCCTTTCCCAGCAGTAATGGTCAACAGTGTTCAAGACTAGCCATGCTGATGCCCCTGGGTTTTTGGAAAGGGGTTTTTAGTAGTTTAAGCTAGTGTGCACAGTATTAGGTTTCATCATGGGTGATGAGTATTCTTGACTGAAACCAAATCCAAATATAAGAGTAACATGAAGGGTTAGAGAGATGGCTCAGAGGTTAAGAACAGTTGGTTGTTCTTCCAAAGGTCCTGGGTTCAATTCCCATCAACCACACGGTGGCTCATGACCATCTATAGTGAGACAGATCTATGCCTTCTTCTGGTATACAGGCACACAGGCAGAATGCTATACAAATAATAAATACATAAAAATAACATGAGTTTACTCTGTCTTTTAAGGATGCTCTGTGTGTAAAATCTACTGATGTGTAAAGGTTGGCTTTAAGAGTGGGGTTTCTTTCCTGTCTGCTCTCTTCATTTTACTCTACTCCCATCTAACAGGCCATGCTCCTGTAATCCCTCTGGCAGCACAGATGAATGTAATGTTGAAACAGGAAGATGTGTTTGCAAAGACAATGTTGAAGGCTTCAGCTGTGAGAGGTAGCCCATCTTTCTGGAGCTCTGCTGTTTTGATTGGTGTCAGATTACCAGGGAAAACCATGACCGATGCCCCCTTAATCTCTTTCAGATGCAAACCTGGCTTTTTCAATCTGGAATCATCTAATCCTAAGGGTTGCACACCCTGCTTCTGCTTTGGGCATTCTTCTGTGTGCACAAATGCTGTTGGCTACAGTGTTTATGACATCTCCTCCACCTTTCACATTGGTAAATTTGGCCCTTATTCAACACTTCACAGGCCGTTAGAACTACGAGAACACTTGCGTATGGGCCCTTTTTGAATCAGTAACTTGGGAGGGTTTTTGATACTCGGAACATTTGATGTCACTTAATATGTTTTTTTTTTTTTCTTGTGTTGCCTCTTAATGAAAACATATGTATGGTTTAAGAGAATTTACTGTAGTAAGCAGTGACTGTAAATGTCCCATAAAAAAACACAGCAAAATGTGTCTTGGTATATACATGTTCTGTTGCAGGGTCAAATTTTCTTATTGGTGATTTTCTCTATATAAGGTGCAGTTTCACACATTTTGTGGGGCTTGGATATAGAGTGTTTGTCATCTAAATGTGCTTGGTCATTCTCTACCTGCAGATGAGGATGGGTGGCGTGTGGAGCAGAGAGATGGCTCGGAGGCATCTCTCGAGTGGTCCTCAGATAGGCAGGACATTGCCGTGATCTCGGATAGTTACTTCCCCAGGTACTTCATCGCCCCTGGTAAGTGAGGCTGCGGAGCAACATGGCTTCCCAGTGCTTCTTTTGTCACACTCACATGTTCTGACCCAGCCTAATGTCTGTCTGCCTTTTAGCGAAGTTCCTGGGCAACCAGGTCCTAAGTTACGGCCAGAACCTCTCCTTCTCCTTCCGAGTGGACAGACGGGACACTCGCCTCTCTGCAGAAGATCTGGTGCTCGAGGGAGCTGGCTTGAGAGTGTCGGTGCCCTTGATCGCTCAGGGCAACTCCTACCCTAGCGAGACCACTGTGAAGTACATCTTCAGGTGAGACTGTCCTCTCGCCAGCTCAGACCTCACCAGCTGAGTAAGAGAAAGTGGTTTTTTATTGTGTTTTATCTGAGTTGATCTGGCCTCAAGGTGTGTGATAGAGGAAAACTTCTGGGCTAGCTGTAGTGGCTCATGCTTATTGTCCTAGAGTGTGGAGGTTGAGGTGGGAGGATGGCCAGGAGCTCAGGGCCAGCCTGGGTCAGTCACATAGTGAAATTCTCTGTTCAAAACCCTTTGGGTTATCAAGTGGCCTTCTTTTCTCTTTCCCTGGTTATACTGAGAAACTGGCAGTGCTCTCTTTTATTTGGTAACATGTCATCATTGCCCATGGTGGCATCAGTCCTCAGATTATCCTTACAGCGGTCATGTGTCCTTTCTCTGTCTCCAGGCTCCATGAAGCAACAGATTACCCTTGGAGGCCCGCTCTCTCACCCTTTGAGTTTCAGAAGCTCCTTAACAATTTGACCTCAATCAAGATCCGTGGCACATACAGTGAGAGGAGTAAGTTATGATGTAATTTAGGAATTGATTAAGAAGATGGAAGGATTCATGGTAAAGAAAAGCTCCTGTGCCAGTATATTCACACTGATCCAAAGATGTATTAAGATCTGACGAGCATTTACTAACATTAATGGCAGTATTATTTTATAATTAATAAGCCCATTGAAATGCCACTTATATGTAGATTTTCTCAAAGTCTTATTGGGACTACTGGTTCAACTTGCTTAACCTTCATGTCTTTTTGTTTACTGCCATGTAATTGCCAAGTGATTTGAACTGTCAGCTAAATTATGAGAAATTATATATTTTCCCATGATCGTTTGCTTTAATTGTAGATAAACAGGGGTTTAAAAACATGCCTTCAAAAACTTAGCAATGAGGGCTTTTCCCCCTCTGGGAAGGTAAAAGATGCAGCTGGGATGTGTGGAATGTTTGTTTGCTTGTTTTTGAGGTCTCTGCATAAGTGTCCAGATAAAAATGTTTTATAAGGGATAAATTACTAATATGGATCTGGGTCCTTGGAAGAGTTTAGAAGGTTGTCTACATTTTGGTAGTTTGCCTTCAAACTTGGAAATATGGCAGAAAACAGAAACGGGATGGGATCCTAGAAACAAGAGTTGAGGTCTGTGCCCTGAGGCCCAAGGGAACAAAAAAACTTGGAGGAAAAAAAAAATAATTGCAGGTTTAGGCCAAGAGGATCACTGAGTTTTAGATGGACATTGAGAAATCACTGCTGAGGAGTTCAGCTTTGGCTTAGTGTTGAAACTGAGTAAGCTCACAGGACTTTCTGAAAAGTAAATTTTTTTTTTTATGTGAGAAGGTAAAATAAAGAATATCCTCCTAAAGAAGTTTGTCTGAGAGTGAGGAGAAGAGATGAATTATCATTTGGGAATAGGAGCAAGATTGAAGTATCTTTAAGCGAGGGAGACGTAACAATGTTTAGAGATTGGAAGTGCATTGTTCTAACCCATGGTCTGATTGGGAAAAAGCCATACACGTATTAAAAGTTAAGTTCAAGCCAGTAATAGAAGTATTCTTCCAGCCAGGTGGTCAATTTCCACAAGAATTATATAAACGGCAAGTAATTCTCTATAACTGGGAGGACTGCACTGTGAGCACAGGAGTCCGTAAGAGTAGAAATTAAAGGGAAACGTGCCTGGCTCCCCCAGGCCCACTTTACAGCCTTAGAACAGAGCGCTGCTTCTACTAGATTGGATGCACCATTGGTCTAGCTCGGGCTGAGCTTTCTTTTTCCTTAGGGAAACGAAGAGCATTCTGACACGTGGCAGAATGGATTTGGAATCATTGTACGCTTGTCAGAGCTATACAGCCCTCTGTGTGTGTGGGGGGGAGCGGGCGGTTCTATACCTTTACTCCCTTTTAGCCCCCTCTACCACATGATTGTCTTAAATGCTGTTTTCTGGTTGTCATTCCTGCTGAATGACTTAAGCTAATGCTCAGTTTTGTCTGGACTCTTGGATCTGTCTACTCTTATGCGTTAATGACTCTCGATGAGCTTTTGGAAACCAGAAGGCACCTCAATGGTTCTCTTTTCCACACCACAAACAGATGCTGGCTATTTGGATGACGTCACCTTGCAGAGTGCTCGTCCCGGGCCCGGAGTCTCTGCAACTTGGGTAGAGTCCTGCACCTGTCCAGTGGGGTACGGAGGGCAATTCTGTGAGACGTGCCTCTCAGGCTACAGAAGAGAAACTCCAAGTCTTGGACCGTACAGTCCGTGTGTGCTCTGTTCCTGCAATGGACACAGTGAGACCTGTGACCCCGAGACAGGTGAGAAGGCCTGAGGCCGCTGCTGGCCCCGAGGGTCCTTTTGTCTTTAGTAGCGGCACTCTTTGTCTTTTTTACCTGTTACTTATCTGATGGCACATCTCTGCTCTCAAAATAGGTGTCTGTAACTGCAGAGACAATACAGCTGGCCCCCACTGTGAGAAATGTAGCGACGGGTACTATGGAGACTCAACCCTGGGCACCGCCTCTGACTGCCAACCCTGTCCCTGTCCTGGCGGCTCAAGTTGTGCCATTGTCCCGAAGACAAAGGAGGTGGTGTGCACCCACTGTCCAACTGGCACTGCCGGTGAGTGTGCCTTGCTCTTTATCCTTTCACTGGTCTGTTAGGTTGTCGCATGTACTCGGCCTTCCTCAGGCATCCTCACAACCCCGAGAGGGAACTTCTGCTGTTGTTTTGCTGTGACTAAGAAAGACACAGAAACAGTGAGTGCCATGTTCAAGGCTGTGTGGTGAGGCGCTGGTGAGCTATGGCTGCAACCCAGGCTTTGTGACTCCACATAGAACTGTCACTATAATGTAATCTCTTGTATAGTGAGAAACCCAACTGGGCTTTCAGTGCTGGCTTGTCTGAATTTTAAAATTCTTTCTCTGAATCAGCCTTTCAGTATCTTAGAGCCAGTCACATTAAGTTGGGAAAGTATGCTTTTTCTTTTTTCAGACCTTTGGGTAGACCACTGCTCCCATTCTACCCATTCCATTCTCTTACTGAAGAGCATAACGTTACATCAGTTTTAGGTTATCATAGCTGGCCATGCTGACCATGAGGGGGTTGCTGCTTGTTGGCAGACTGACCTTCGTTAGCTTGCCTTTGCTGTGAAGGGCGGGAAGGCAAAGCAGGGCTAAAGCAGTGTGTTACTTACTCAACGTGTGTGAGGAGTACAGGGTTTGAACCTTGAACCACGACTTTTAAATGAAAGCAAATTATATTTTGGAACAGTTTAATCCAGACTCCTGGTGTGCCTGTTTCAGTTTGATTCAGAACATACTTCAAGCCTTTGAAGTGTAGATTACATGTGGAATAGTGCATTATCAGATGAGACGTCATAGCTGGAATGCCACCCTTGCACTCGTGTGGAGATGGCTCTGAGAGGGCTGCTGGCTGCCTGCAGCAGGGCCAGGAGGGTCCCTCATGCCCATTCTCCTGCCTTCTCTTTTTTTCCCTCTGCCCCACCTCAGCCATATTTCCTGCTCAGCTTACTGACCTGGGCTTTTGTTTGTCAGCTCTAAAGGTCAGTATCGTGGCCATGCTGGACAGTGCTGGCTGAACATCCCCCCCCAAAAAAAAAAAATAAACTACCCTCTCTCTGTAGTTTGACCTGCAACTCTCCTGGGTTTTCTTCTCTTTTGTCTTGGGTACACCTTTTTATTCCAGATGGGGATGTTCATCTGTGTTTGATGATCCAGTCCCTTCTCTATACAAAATCTGTACCATCAGCCCTGGACACCCTCTCCTCTTTGTCCCTTTCCTTTTCCACCTGGTGAAGGGCTGGGAGCTTCCTTCCTGCCCTCTGCATCTGGTCTTCACCTTTTTCTACCCCATGGGATGTGTACACTGCACCCTATCCAGCCTCCTCTGGAGTTGGGGTAGAAGGACAGAATATTTATTCCAGGGCCAGTTTGGAGGGGACCCTTGAACTTGGTGACTCCGGTTAAAGTTAAAGCTTCTGAGGTAACCTTCTTGAAACTGCCCTTAATACTGTATGATGTGGTGACTGCTTCCTTAATACTGTATGATGTGGTGACTGCTTCCTCCTTGCAGGCCCTAGGGCATACATTACAGAGTCCATCCCAGTCACCTTTGTCCTTTGATGCCCCATCTTGGTCTAGCCTTGCACCACAGCACTTTCTGTAAACTCTCCTCAGGCCACACTCACTGAATGTGCCAGTTACCTCTCCTGCATTCTAGACTCACAGAGCTATAGTCTCAAACTTCAAAAAGATCTCACTTTGACTTCTTCCCTTTTTCTCCAACTCTAGCCCTTTCCCTGCCCAATGGTCTATAGACTACCACAACCTGCCTCATCAAGCCCAAATCCTTGGATTTATACTTGATTCTTCTTTCTCTCGTTTCTTAGAAACAGCCCTTCTTTGACCTCATTTTCTGTGGTCATCCAGCTTCTAGCCCCCTCAACCTCTCAGCTGAAGTTGTCTCTCTCATTGTCTCCCTGCTTTACCTGCTTTCCTAAGATCTGTTCTTCACATGGGAGCCAGAATAATCCTTTTAAAATGTAACAGGATCATATCACTTTACTGGTATTTTTTTTTTCTTTTTCTGGGCTGCCTTACTGTGTAATCCAAGGTGGCCTACAGCTCACAGTGTATCCCAGGCTGAGCTCAAATTTGTGATCTCCCTGGCTCAGCCTCCCAAGTGCTGAGATTGTGTGTGTTAGCTCACACTGTGATTACACCACTTAAAAGCTCTGCAGGGCTGAGGTGGTTCGCGGTAAAGCACTTGCTGTCAGGCCTCAAGACCTGAGGTTAGTACCTGGATCACACGGAGCTGAAAGAACCAACTCCTGTAAGGTCCTCTGACCACAACAGTCATACCATGGCATGTGTGCATATAGACAAACGTAAAAGGAAGAAAGACCCTGTAGTAGCTTGTCACTGCACTTGAACTTCAGTCTTCCTGTCACCGCGGTCCAACCTGGCTTGGTTGGCTCCGCCTCGGTGTGTGGCCTTGCTCTGAAGCGTTCCCACGGGCATTTTCCCGGCAGATTTCTCTACATTCTCATTCTAATGTCTCATTCTTAGGATGCTTAGTCTCACCCCAGTATAAAGTGGCTTGGCCTTCACGGTCAGTCCCTGTGTCTGCCTTAGTGCTCTGTGCTTGCTCCCCTCTGAAGTCCTTCCCACCTGCAGCAGCACAGCCCAGAAGAGTGCCGGTGTGGATGGCCGCTGTTCCCAAGCGGGTGTTTACTGAGTTCGTCCTGTTGTCCACACGGATAGAAAGAGCCTGTCTCACGGTGACGATGGCAGGGGAGTGGAAAAGCATGCAGACGAGCCATGCGCTCGGTGGAGAGAGCCTGAGTCTGGCTCCTCCTTCTTCCCTGTGGTCATTAGAAGAGCTGCTCTGTTATGAAGTCCAGGCAGACAGTGGGTGATACCTAATTCTCTTTCAGAGTCCCCTGGTCCTACACTGGCCAACAGTGCTTGGCTAGGGATAGTGTATGCTCTTTTAAGTTAAGGGAGACCCTCCTCACCCTGTTGAGAAAACTTAAAGCACTGAAAGTTGTGCTTTGACTTTTTCAAGTGCAGCCCAAGTCTGTGTGGATGTGCTTATTCCTTCGGAATGCAGAGTCTGGTAAACCTTGGGCCTATCTCATTCATCAAGAACTTTAACACGTGATCAGAGAATTTGAAATGAGGTAGGCAAACCAGGGACCACTGCACTGAAGAAATATGTCCAGGCCACTGCACTGGTTTGGCCCACTGCAGGGTCCACAGCCCAGGACTCCAGCTCTGCACGTCGCCACATGACCTTGTATAGGATGGTGAGAATAGTCAGTGTGTTAACCTACAGCATTGCTAACCTACAGCAGGGTGCCTCAGGCCATTCCTCTCTAACCTCGGATCCACTCATTCCCAGGCAAGAGATGTGAACTCTGTGATGACGGCTACTTTGGAGACCCTCTGGGCAGCAGTGGGCCCGTGAGACTGTGCCGCCCGTGTCAGTGCAACGACAACATAGACCCCAACGCGGTCGGTAACTGCAACCGCTTGACCGGAGAGTGCCTGAAGTGCATCTATAACACGGCTGGCTTCTACTGCGACCGGTGCAAAGAAGGCTTTTTTGGAAATCCCCTGGCAGCCAATCCAGCAGACAAATGCAAAGGTTAGCCGCTGGCCACAGTCTGTCACACGCACACCTTGATTTGCGTCTCTTCCAGTACTTACAGAAGTTTGTTCAAATGCAGCGCCAACCACTTGCACAACTTAAGGTCGCTAGACACTGCATTGAAAAGTGAAGCAGGAGAATTAATTTATCATGTTTAACAATGTAGCTTATATTTTAGGGCTTCAACTAGTAATCAGTTACAAACCATTAATGGGATGGGCGTTCTTTTTCACCCTACATCCACAAAGTCAGGGTGTGTTTTAATTGATAGCACATCTCTGTTCAGATTACCCACACAGACTCTGTGTGACTAGACATAGAGACTCTGTGTATAGACTAGACTCTGTATAGACAGCGCAGGTCTTATACTTTACCGTTCTCTGGTAATTTTCATCTGTTGCTTTCTCTGTTTTCCCACCCTAGCCTGCGCCTGCAATCCCTATGGGACAGTGCAGCAGCAGAGCAGCTGTAACCCTGTGACGGGGCAGTGTGAGTGTCTGCCTCACGTGTCCGGCCGGGACTGTGGTGCTTGCGACCCTGGCTTCTACAACCTGCAGAGCGGGCAAGGCTGCGAGAGGTAAGAGTTCAGAGCCATCCAAGAAAGCGATCTTTGCTGTCTGTGTCATAAGAAGCCCATCTTTCCAAGTTACAGTTGGTGGATGGCTCGCTGTTGCATGTGAATCTAGTGTCTGATGCAGGAAAGGCACCGTGGGGTAGGATTTAAGTAAGGGACAGAAGGGATAGCACAATAGCAGTCCTGGTGAAATCAGACATTTCACAGAATGCAGATTGCAAGGTTTCTTCTGAGACATCTCACCAGGGCTGCAGCCTCCCAGTTCTTGGTCAGTGCCCATAGGGTTTCAGTCTGGAGGTGAGGCGTGACAGAGAGCCTTGAACAGCACTCGCAGAAAGGGCCTGACTCAGTGGCAACCCTCAACTTTCCAATCAGCAGCCCTTACCATGTTGCCTTTGAGAGAATGTTGCTCACGCTCTGCTCTGCTTTTGCTAGAAGTGTCTTGTGTTTCTTTTCAGGTGTGACTGCCATGCTTTGGGCTCCACCAATGGGCAGTGCGACATCCGTACTGGGCAGTGTGAGTGCCAGCCTGGCATCACCGGTCAGCACTGTGAGCGCTGTGAGACCAACCACTTTGGGTTTGGACCTGAAGGCTGCAAACGTAAGACATGCAGAACGAACCAACCCTGTGGGGCATATTATGAAACTCTGGAAATCAAGGGCTTTTTTGGTTCCTTGGTAACCACCTTGTTGATATCTCCTTTTTTTATACTTATTCCTCTATGTAATCTTGTTTCAAAAAAAAAAAAAGGCTCTCTTTGAGTACTGAGCTCTCCCACTCTGCTTATTGAGACTTGTTTATTGATCACATTTTCATTGCAGATAAGGAAGCAGTAATTCAGCGTTTGTTGGCTCAATGAGGTCACTTTCCACCCTTGAGGCCTTTTTGGTTCAGTTGCATATAAACATCTGCGTCTTCTTGGCATAAACACTTGCCTGGAAATCAGAACAGTTTTCTTTTTTCCCTTTCTGAATTTCTTCATGGAATGTAGCTAGCACAAGTCATTGACTCAGTTCAGCGAACAAAGTGAGGAAACAAACTGTAAAGTAATGTAAGAAAGTGTTAGCGTTGGGTATTCTTATTTCTTAGAGAAATTTAGGCAGTGGAAAGTAGAGAGGAATTCCTGAATCACATGAAAAAGAGTACTGCTTAGTTTGATAAGTGTGTGTGTGTGTGTGTGTGTGTGTGTGTGTGTGTGTGTGTGTGTG